TAAAAGATCTAGTTCCTTACTCCACCTTTAGCAGTACTCTCAATCCTCTTCCCATAGAACTGGAAGTTCATTCTTCCTAGACTCCCAGAACCATTTGGTCTTAAAGTGACCATCTGGTTTAGTTTTGTTACTGGAGTGGGCTTGAATTATCCAAGTCACGTGATTAACTTGTTATTAAGGGTCTGAAGTCTAAACCAAGGTCTATATTTAGAGGGGTTACAGACAACAATGTTTAATGTATAAATACCTCTATATTCACAAACCTCTAATTCCTCTTTCCCATGCCACATTTCTGAGCCCATTTTCACTTCCATGAGAAAAATAGCAGCCACAACATCACCTTGCAAACTTTTTTTAAAGGGGCCATAAATTATTTAGGCTGTGAAGCTAATAGAGCTACAGCTGTTAGGGAATTTTGTTCCCTCTGTTAAGTTTCAACTTATGGTACATTACTTGCTGAAGGTCATAGTGTTGAAATATTGATTAGAGTTAGCAGCAGCAAAGAAGCTCAGAGGAGCACTGCTAAAGGCCTTCCAGAGCCCTGTTGGAAGGAAAGAAACAAAATCTGTTTTATAGCTTATGAAAAAAGGAAAAGGATCCAGTTGAAGTGGAGAGAGAAAATACAATGAAAAAATGAGAAAGGTTTCTTCCATGAGGAAGTTAAGGATTTCATAAGCACCCTTGAAGTTGAAATAGTGAAGTAAAGTTTAAAAGTTTTTTTAAAACTGGTCAGTAGTTTTTGTAACTTCAGTCTTTTAGAATAAATAGGGAATAAGAGCTAGTATTTTTGAACCTCAGAATTATGGTATTTTAATGCCAGAAGGTAAACCTTAAAAACCTACTGGTCCCATACCTTTGTATAGCAGGTGAAGAAATCCAGAAAGTTTCCAGCCAGTATCAGAAGGGGCCCTAGCACCCAGGTCGTCTGTCTTTGCAGTATCTGTTCCGTCGGCATGTACTGTGTGATATTTTCAGCTTCTTTTTTTGAAGCTCTGATTTTTTTTGGCAGTCTCAGTGGTGTGTTGAGAAGGTGACTATCCTGTTCAAAGGTGCTGCCTGGCCGGGCACAGTGGCTCAAGCCTGTAATCCCAGCACTTTGGGAGGCCGAGGCAGGTGGATCACGAGGTCAAGAGATCGAGACCATCCTGGTCAACAAAGTGAAACCTTGTCTCTACTAAAAATACAAAAATTAGCTGGGCATGATGGTGCGTGCCTGTAGTCCCAGCTGCTCGGGAGGCTGAGGCAGGAGAATTGCTTGAACCCAGGAGGCGGAGGTTGCGGTGAGCCGAGATCGTGCCATTGCACTCCAGTCTGGGCAACAACAGCGAAACTCCGTCTCAAAAAAAAAAAAAAAAAAAGGTGCTGCCTTCCTTTTCCCCATGTTTGCTAAGTGTGTAGGCCTGTTTTTAGAATCAGAGATGCATTTAAAGTGTAGTTTGGAAAAGGAGATCCTCAGCAGTGTTGTTTTGAATACTAGTATCTGTTGCCATTGCATCTAAGAATCAAATCATAGCCTTGATTCAGATGTACCAATGTAGCCATGAGATTTGATTTTCTGACATCAAATTTGTTTTTTCATAGAAACGTAATTGGGAATGTTAAAAACAATTTCTCTGAAGTATAGGGCAACAATTTCATCAAGGGCCTGCCATGTCATAGACCCACATTTTTTTACATTATAACATTTCTTACATTAGGATGTGTCTTATTATTGATATCTTGTTTTTTGTTTTTTTTTTTCGAGACAGAGCTTTGCTCTTGTTGTGCAGGCTGGAGTACAATGGCGCAATCTCGGCTCACCGCAACCTCCACCTTCCAGGTTCAAGCGATTCTCCTGCCTCAGCCTCCCGAGTAGCCGGGATTACAGGCATGTGCCACCATGCCTGCCTAATTTTAAATTTTAGTGGAGACGCGGTTCTCCATGTTGGTCAGGCTGGTCTCGAACTCCCAACCTCAGGTGATCCGCCCACCTCATTTTTTCTTTGTTACCAGTAATTAATAGTACTTCTTAAAAATCAATGATATTTTATATTTGATGAAATATGGTACTTACAGCTTATTAGCTTCACTTGTAAGTCAATATTAAATGAATATATAATTTCACATTTGAATAGTGGGTTGTTTGGAGTTTGTGGTAAGTGGCTGCTAGCTACTCTGCAGTATTATAAGGTCCTGTAGGTATAGACTACAATAGCCTGTGTCTTACATATGCATAATACCTATGGTTAATACATGTACATTTGTTAAATTCATGAGTATGTGCATGAATAAATGTTTATCAGGGACACAGTTTGAGAGGTGAGTTGAAGGAGTATTGAGTATTTTATGAATAGAGTCTCAGGTTATTGGTTAGGAACATGGTACTGGTAATATAAGGCCATGGTTTGAGTCCCACCTGGGCAGGTGCTCTTTGGCCATAGATTGTATCCTTTATCCTACCAGCCGTCTTATAAATGATGTGGTTACTATCTGTGGTGAAGAGGACCAGTATGTGGCTGACAGGTACAAATCTATCACCCCTGTTGAAAATACATCTCTCTCAGGTTACTCAGTCTCTTTCCTTCATTGTCTTTACTACAGTTTGTACTTTTGGTAGTTTTGTTTTTCTTTGTGTAATGTTTGGCTCTTTTACAGGGCAGGGAACTTCATGTGGATAGGGCCTGAGCCTGTCTTGTTCACCTGTGAATCCCTAGCACCTGGTAGATAGCCTGTCACAGTGAACATCTCAAAGCAGTTTGGTCTACTCATTCTGCATCAGTCATAATAATGATAATAAAACAACAGTTAGGGATATAACACTTGCTCTATCCCAGGCACTGTTTTAAATGCTTTGTATATTACTAACTCGTTTAATTCTCACATCAGCCTGTGAAATGTATACTATTATTGTCCCTGTTTTATAGTGAGGGCTGCACCTTTACAAATGTATTATATGTGAAAAACTTAGAAGTATATTTGTGCATACTGCACATTATATGTAGACATGGATTAGTATGTTTATAAATATATATAAGATGCGCACAGGGGCATATAGAAAACATTTTTGGCTAGAACTTACGTGATTTTAAAATAACACTTTTTCCTCTCTCTTTTTAGGGAAATATTTGCCTTTGTGTTCATTTGGGTTGTAAACCCAGTTTTGGGAGTATACCAGGCACTGTGCTACCTGGTGCCAGTTTAAGGAGTGATTTCATATTAATATCACAGTCTCCTGGGGCAGTTGTTATTCCACTTATAGATGGGAAGACTAAGGCTAAGGGAGATCAAAAGAAATGTCCGGGGTTACGTGGGTGGTGAAAGGCAGAGCATAAACTCAAGACCAGGCCTGTCTGATTCCTGGGCTGATGTTCTCATCTGCTCCTGGGGACACAGTCTCAAGGTTAAGCTGGACAATTTCTAAGAATCAGAAGAGAAGGAGGTGATCTAGGATGTGGCAACTACAGCATTCGCCATCAGAAATTATTCCTGGTGGCCAACCTCACCTTTCCTGCTCTAATATTTAATTTAAAATACTTATTTTCAACCAGGCGTGATGGCTCATGCCTGTAATCCCAACACTTTGGGAGGCCGAGGCAGGCGGATTACTTGAGGTCAGGAGTTCGAGACCAGCCTGGCCAACAAGGTGAAAACCTGTCTCTGTTAAAAATACAAAAAAAAAAAAAAAAAAAAAAAATCAGCCAGGTTTTGTGGTGTGGGCCTGTAGTCCCAGCTACTCGGGAAGCTGAGGCAGGAGACTCGCTTGCACCCGGAAGATGGAGGTTGCAGTGAGCTGGGATCATGCCACTGTACTCCAGGCTGGGTGACAGGGTGACAGAGTGAGACTCCATCTCAATTAAAATAAAATAAAATAAAATAATACTTATTTTCTTATTATAGTAAAGCTAGGCATCTTGTCACATATTGATTTGCACTTTGTCATCCATTGTATTTCTTGTTCATGACCTTTATCAGTTTTTCTCTTAGGCTTTGTGTTCCTCTTTTTGTTGGCTCTTCATGTTACCCAGGTTAATTCCTTGTCTGTTAAATGTTATGAAAACACTCCCCTGATCTGTCATTGCCTTTAACTCTGCCTGTAGTGTGTTTTACTCTGTCTGAATGCTTGCTTTTTTCATGTAGGGAAAGAGTCAATTGTATTATTGCCTTTGGGTTTCATTTATTTAAAAAATGTTAGCAAGGCATTTGTACTAGATTAATGTAGCTTTGGGCACCAGCAGCATTTTAGGGCTGAACTTCTATGCAGTCTCAATGTGAATTTTAGAGAAACCTATGATTTTTATATGTACAAAAATAGATACAGAGTTCTTTTCTCTCTTTCCTGATACGTGGGAGTTCAAGATTGACTTTTTCCAACTCACTGAAAAAGAGATGGACCTTATCATATTAACTTGGTATAAGTGTTTCTTTTGGAGACCCAGTTTCTTGTCCTGGAATTCAGTGAAATGTTTCCCATGCACGTGCTGTGTATAAGGCACTGACCATATATCATAGGCATCAAGATGAGTAAGACATGGTCCTGACACTCATGGAGTTTACAGTTAGCAGTCCTAAAGGTATTTAGATGGTACTTGAAATAATCTTGAAGTAAATTTAAACTTAGACAATTTTACTTAGAAATAATGTGGTAAAAAGAGTAAGAATATGTATGCATTCAGTAGTATACTGTGTGATGATATTTATTGTATACTACATGAAAGTGTTCGTAACTTCTATTCTTCTTAATCTTGGATCCTTTTTAAAATTCCCCATTATATTCATAAATCGTGTATATCATGTGAAGATTTAGGAATTCCTGACTGTAATGTTCTATTTAAATGTTAATTTATTATGGATTAATGTAAGCAAAATTCTCAGGAAGTTGAGGACATTAAATCTTTAATTGAAATGTAAGAGATATTTGTAATATTGTTTGGCCACTAATGTATGCCTTGTGTTCTAAATTTCACTTTAGGAAATCACTCACTCTAGTAATTTGGTGTCTTTGTCACAGAGATCAAGTTTGTACTTAAAACCAAAATATGATTAAGCAGTGGACAGTGGAAGATTTGCGCTGTGAACTACTTTGCATTCTCGAGCAGAAGTGGAGTAGGCTATTTTTAATTGCTTAAGGTACTTCATTGATAATTTGGGTAGAGAAGAAATTAATTAGGGAAAGTATAGAGTCAGTTTGATTTAATATTTACAGCAGCTAGAGGTTTGTGCTCTTTACCAGCCCAAATTAAGGAGAGTAGTGGAAGGGTTCTAGGAGGGAAGGTGAAGAGCTGCAGTAGTGGAGATGTGGGGAGGCTGCTTTTGTGGGAAACCTCTAGCCTGAAATTCTGGGCCTTAAATTATTTAAGGTGGGGAAGAATAAGAGAATGAGAGTGATTTAAAATTTGGTGAGTTTTACTTGGAATGTAGGCATATTTTGCGTTATTTCCATTTGAATGCAAACACAGCAACAAAGAATTTCCTTCATTCTATGATGTCAGCAATAGTAAGACTTATCATTGATTTGATAACAGTATTGCCTCATATAGATCCACCAGTTGTTAGGTGTGTCATGGTAGCATGGAGTGGCAGGTGACTGAGAGTTGGTTCTTTCTGGAGTGTGTTACCTCAAGCTGTTGAGGAGGCAGAAATTAAGGTGAGGAGTATTATAACACAAGTCGCCTTTAGGTCCTCCTCACAGCCATGGCAGGTTGGAGAGCATGCTTGGTATAAAGAGCCTGCGGTAGCATGGGTTCATCTTCTGGCGTGGGTTGAGTTTCTGGGATTCAAAATGCATTTGTGGTGATTATGCTATAGTTTGCTGGGCTCTTTAAGGTTTTCCGCTGGGTTTTAGGGGCTGCTCTGATTGCCAGCATTCCTCCTTTGGCTAACCTAACATATCTTAGAGCAGTATTCTAGAAGAGGAAGCATATGATGGTCCATAATTCCTTGTCTGGATCTCCTGTGACAAGTTAATTCCTACTGTGCAGGGGCAGCTATCAGTTTAGGTGATATGGGTTCAAGTTAGGTAGCATGGGCCAGGGCTGGGGCAGAAGTGAAGAGAGTTTTTAGTTGGGGAGAGGTCGTAACAGTGGCCCAGAAGCTGAATGAATCTCTTTCCTTTCTTTAGGAGCTTGGAGGTGAACTTATTTGGGGTTTTAGGACTGAACTACTGATAGCCTAGGTTTCAATTTGGAGGTAATCTCAATGAGGGATTCATTCCTTAACTCCACCCTCCCACCTCTCACACATACATAGACTTCTCTACCTTGAATAGGGATCCCAAATGCCCAAGGCTTTTTCTTATTTTGGTACTTTACACACCACGCAGTTGTGGCCCACTTTTATGTCAGTTCAGATAGATTGTGAGTTCTTTAAGAACTGAGATACTGTCATTCATCACTTTATCCTTAACACCTGGCATTGTGTGGCATTATGGTGGTATAGGTGCTCCCTAAATGTTGACTGAATAAATGAATGAACTCACATTTCAATACCAGATGATAACCTTGTCTGGCATCATACAGGTTTCTTATCAGGATGGAATGTGATCAAGAATTTCACTTCCTTGCCTTTGAATACATATTTTGGATTTGCCTTTAAGATGATAATAGTCTATTAGTTCCAGCTCATCTGGAAGTGGGTCTGTATGAGCTTAAGCCTGGTGCATGGATGGGGAGATCACACATGCATGAGCCTCTAAGATGATAATAGTCTATTAGTTTAGCTTATCTAGAAGTGGATCTTTATGAGCTTAGGCCTGGTACGTAGATGGGTAGATCACACACATCTACATCTATGCATTAGAAAATTTCCAAGGTTTACTTAATTAGATGCTGTAGGCTCTCAGCACTGGCTGAGTAATACTAAAAGGCCAGGGGATTGGGAGGTGAGCTGCTGTTTATCACACTTCTGATATACTTTTTATGAGCACCAAAGATCTGATGTTGTAACATCTTGAGCTCCATAGAATTGATCCAGGAGTTCTGGAGTTACTATGAGAAAGTAGAGATCTTCATTAGTCTGTTGTTGTAGCTGTGCTTTAGGGACACAGACAGACCTGTCTTTTCTCAGGGTGACGTCTCCTGTGGAAGGAGAAGAGAATTGCCTGATCTCTGTTAAGTTAGTGAGTATAAGAGTACTTGTGGAGAACCAAACTTTACCTACAAAAAGGATTTTGTTTTAACAAGTAGGGAGTCCAGATATCCTGATCATAACATCTGATCTTATAATCAAATCTTTTACCTTCTTGTCTGAAAACTATGATATGATATGACCATTCGTTGACGATTCCAGGAATGGGAGGGACTGGTAAAGCCGATTCTGCCACTAGTCAGGAATTGTAGCAGGGTAGGAAAGGGTGTAGCTTCTACACAAATATCATCATTATAGGTGTTCATCTGGGAGAAGTAGGAGCCAAGGGGAAGAATGGGTCTCACGTGACACCACTGGTGAGGGTGGGCTGTGCTGCATAGCTCAGTGGTGCCAGGGTCTCAGGCCGCAAATACCTGCTATGTCCACTAGCCCAGAGTCAAATGCTTCTGTGACTGCTATGCCAGACCTTGACCTGCAAAGCTCTCTAATGGCCCCTTGTTGAGCACAGTTCACTCTGAGAAAGCTGTCTGTTACCTAGCAGTTCTTTGTGTGCAAGATATGCTACCCAGGTGGTTAGGGCTAAATCTGAACCTGTGTCCTTCCTGGAGGTATAAGGGGTTCCAAATACTTCTCCCAAAAGCAGATCTTGTTGCTCTTTCAGTTATGGAGTGTGAGGTCAGGACTTGGGTGGACATGAGGCAGTGATTTAAGGCAGAGAGCTTCGAGTGGACTCTGGGCAAATACATGACAACATGCTCTTTTTTTTTATTCAATAGAGATTACTCCTTATGTTCTTTTCTTAGACTTGCTTCATGGGCGACCACAATGATAGGTAGAAGGCCTGGCTACTTTGAAGGGGCCAGGGATGGGTCACAGAAAAGGCACGTTGATAGCACTAATGGAGGGTTAGAAAGTAGCCCACAGTTTTGTCATCTGTATTCTTCCTACCGCTTTTTGAAATGTGGGAAGCTGGTTGTAGTAACTACTTAGATTTCTCAACCTAGGTCTTTTTTTTTTTTTTTTTTTTTCACAAGCTGCTGCTTCTCTTGTCCACTTTTCTATTTATTTTATCCCTGTTTCTTTTATATATGAGTTCATATCAGAAGAGATTAAGTGATTTTGGATTGTATTTTAGATAAGTTTTATTCTATGACTTAACATTTAGTATGTTATTTGTACTAGAGAATGAGTTGCTGAGCGATTTTTACTTGTATTCCTGACAAAGTTTGCCTCTTAGCTATTTAAAGGTATGAGGCTTTAAAAATTTGGCCCAAATGGGAAACTATGTGGCTGTTTAGTAAACATTATTAATGAGGGTGACGGTTTTCAGCCACTGGATTTAATTTGAACCATTTATCTTTGAGCCCCAGTTTTTTTTTTTTTCTAGGAAATAAAAATGATAAACTTTAGCTTTTTATTTCTCAGTTCAGAAAAATCAACAAGATTGTGGTTCTTGATAAGGAGGGGATCCTGGAGAATGGAGCAATGTCTTTTTTTGTTTGTTTTTCTAACTTATTTCTGTGGTCTCTGTGTCTTATTTAAAAGGTGGCATTTAGGTTTGCCGTGATCACAAGATAGCTTGTGCATTACAGGATGTTTTCTTGTGATCAAGTTGAATTATGTTTCAAAGTTTAGAAAAATTATAATGTGTCTTTTTTTTTTTTTTAACCTCTTAGTGCCACAGAATGGAATTCGGCATTGTTCCTATACAGCTTCTCGGAAACATCTCTACGTTGATAAAAACACAAAGATTATTTGCCAGGGTTTCACTGGCAAACAGGTATGTGTATCTAGATTTTTGTTTTCAAATGTAGACTGGAGATATAACAAATGATGAACTATTTTTTTATTTTTAATATCACAAAAATAATATATCAGATTGTTGCAGAAAAATATACTGTACAGCAATGGGGTTGTATGTCAGGAGGAGGTTAGTTGCTATTGTCAGCCTATAACATAAAAATTGTATTTAAACTTACTTTGCGAAGGAGTATATTGCATGCTTACTAGGACTATATTGTATTGGAGGCCCACATACTTTCTTTCAGCAAATATGACACTTGGTTTTCCTATAACGTTGAAACAGATTACTGTTTCTTTGATTGAGCACTAGGTAAACTAGATTCTTGTGTTAGGTTTTGTACAGACAAACAAACAAAAAACCATATTGTTAAATACAGAATCCATATTCAGTGTGGAGAAATGCTCAAACCCACAGAGTCTCTTGGATAGTGAGACAAGCAGAAGAACTAGACCACTGACTTTTCCCAACTTATACTCTCTCTGGGACCATGATTGGGACTACCAGGCAAAACTCCCTGAAGTGTTTTAATTTATTCTCATTTGTTTATATTCATTGTCTCTTCCTCTTTCCTGTTCACATCATAGATTCTGTATAAGTGAAAATATATCTGTGATGTGATTCTGTAATAAAATGCCACCTAAGAATCTCCTTTCCATTTGCCTACCTTTCTACTCCCCAGGAATTCCTTCTGTTAATAAATTGGCATGTATCCTTTCAGATATTTATCTTGTGCATACAAACGTATTTATATAATATGTATTTTGTAGTGTTTATTATACAGAACTGTACTTATGTAATGTTATCTAGCATATAATATATCTGATGTATATATCTATAAAATAGATACCTAAAAGTAAAATTGGATGTCATATGGTCTGTGTATTTAAAATTTTCATAGCTAAATTGAACTTTAAAACGTTGGAGCAGATTTATACTTCCACCATAGCAGATGTGCAGAATTTTTTAAAATGAGGAAGTACTACCAAATCAATTAGAGTATAATCACTATACTCTTAAGTGTCTTAACCCAAAGTATCCCTTTCTTTATTATTAAAGGAGATATGGCAAGATAAAAGCAGTCAATAATTATTTTATAATTTAAGTTTAATGATTTTTCTGTAATTAAAAGAATTGTCAAGTCAATTCTTCAGTGTTTTGGTAATCTAGAGCAGAGGTGACTAAACTTATTCTGCAAAAGGCCAGTTTGTAAACATTTTAGGTTTAGTGGGTCATACAATCTCTGTTACAGCTACTAAAAAGTGTTATAATAGCAAAAGCAGCCATAGAAAATAATGTCAATAAATGGGCCTGGGTGTGTTCCAATAAAACTTAATAAACAAACCAGGTAGTGGGCCAAATCCTGTAGACAGCAGTTAGCAGGTTGTTTCATATAAAATGGTTCTTTTGCATTTTTACTTTTTTTCTGAAATAACTGAGCACACAAATGTGTTGCAGTGGACTTTTCTTCTTTTTCTTCCTCCATTCCTCTATAACCTTAAAATAAAATCTACCAGGCCGGGCGCGGTGGCTCAAGCCTGTAATCCCAGCACTGTGGGAGGCTGAGGCAGGTGGATCACGAGGTCAAGAGATCGAGACCATCCTGGTCAACATGGTGAAACCCCGTCTCTACTAAAAATACAAAAAATTAGCTGGGCATGGTGGCGCGTGCCTGTAATCCCAGCGACTCAGGAGGCTGGGGCAGGAGAATTGCCTGAACCCGGGAGGTGGAGGTTGTGGTGAGCCGAGATCGCGCCATTGCACTCCAGCCTGGGTAACAAAAGCGAAACTCTGTCTCAAAAAAAAAAAAAAAAAAAAAATCTACCAATAACAAAAAATGAAGTACCCACTAAACCCTGAAATTTTGTTCCTGCTAAAAATGGCTGGGTGTGGTGGCCAACACCTGTAATCCTAGCACTTTGTGGGGCCAGAGCAGCAGGAATGCTTGAACCCAGGAGTTTGAGACCAGCCTGGGCAATATGGTGAGACCCCATCTCTTAAAAAAAAAAAAAAATAGAAAAATTAGCTGGGTATGGTGGCGCATGCCTGTGGTTCCAGCTATTCTGGAGGCTAAGGTGGAAGGAACACTTGAGTCGAGAAGGTTGAGGGTGCAGTAAATCATGATTGAACCACTTAACACCAGCTGGGAAGACAGAGTGAGACCCTGCCTCAAGAAAAAAAGGTTTATTCTGATAGCCAAATGTCTTATGTGTATGTCATTTCCGTTATATACATTCTAAGGAAAGATCTTCATCCAAGATTTGAAGTGTGTTCTATCATCCCCTTCTCAATTGATGTTATATTCAGCCTGTTTTTTGTTATATATTATTAGCATATAATCAGAAGATGTTTGATTAACCCAAATTCCCCATGTAAATTTATTATATATAATTTTGTTTTTCTGTTTGCAAAATATTATATGATCCTGTGACATTTTAAGCTGTGGGCCTTTTTATAAGAACCATTGCCCATGGTGTAAGCACTATTGAGAACTGTCTCCATAATCTAAATTAGGTGATGGTTTGCCTAAATATTTAAATCAAGGGTAGTTTTAGTGTTTTTCAGTTACTTGCATTTGCATTGTTTCTCATTCACTCTCCTTGTTTTTGTTTTTAAAGTAAGTGAGTGTTAATTTCCTCAGTTAGGTTTGTTGATTCAGATTCATTATAGACTTAATGATGAGGTCTGAAATTTATAGCTTACTTCCACAGTAAATCTGCATATTGTCTTTTTAGTTTGTTTTCTCTGTACACACATTGTTCCGCATAACGAATGAAAAATCCTTGTATTTTAGGGTAGGTTTCAGCAATGCAGATTTCCATTGGGTGCCATGTTGTTTCTTACACTGGCTTTATAAGCTGCTAAAATTATTCCTATTCCTAATTGTATACTAGCTGGTGATAATGGTAAAACTAAGGAAAATAAGCTAACTTTGAATAGATGTGTTATTCCTGTTTAGCACTACTTTATGATTAAAATTTGGTGCTTTTGAATTTACCTGGCAGTGTAGTCTAGGGCAGTGCTTTTCAGTGTCTATAGCAAAAAACCCATGTGGGTGTTTGTTTTTAATTTTCAGTCTAATATAGATCAGTATTTTTATAAAGTACAATAAAAGCTTTAGTAATGTCATACTGCTATATTTGCAAACATTTTTACTTTTTTTAAAATTAGATTTCCCCTCCCTTCCTTCCTTCCTTTTTTTTTTTTGTTTTCATTTTCTTTTTCCTCTTACCTCATTGCAGAGCAGCAAGAGTCTGCATACTGTACTTTGAATAGCACTGTTTTAAGAGAGCAAACACTGGCCTGTGGTTCTTCCAAAACTCTGCCCCTGACTTTAGACAAATTAATTAACATGCTTGGGGCCAAGTTTCCTATTTTGAAATATAATTTCAATCAGAAAATTTCTGAAGTCCTTCTTAAGGCCCTACTTTTTATTCCATTAGTAGAATGTCAGTAGTTGGGACCACATTTTGAATGACCACATAGATTCATTCATTTTTCAACAACTATTTATTGAGTGCCTACTGTATGTTGATTTAGGTGTCATATTGCAATGAACAAAGTACACATAAATCACCGTCTTCATGGAATTTACATTTTAGTGGTTGGAGGGAAATGTATCAACAAAATCAATGAGTAGATTATGTGGTATGCTAGAGAGTACAATTGCTCTGGAAGAAATAAGCCAGGGAGATAGTTGGGCAGTTCTTGCCGGAAGTGGAGAGTGGCTGATCAAAGTCCGGAGGTGGTACATTATGGCTGACATGCAAAATCTGGTAGAAAGATTGGAGAGGGCAGTAGGCCACCTGGAGGCAGTATCCCATACCTCTGACATGCACTGTGGGTATGCAGACAGTCCTTCAAAAGCAGGAGCAGCTCCCTATATGCAGGCATTTGACTCGCTGCTTGCCGGTCCTGTGACAGAGTACTTGAAGATCAGTAAAGAGATTGGGGGAGACATGCAGAAACATGCGGAGATGGTCCATACAGGTTTGAAGTTGGAACGAGCTCTCTTTGTTACAGCTTCTCGTCAACACCCAGCAGATAGCAAGCTTTCCGATTTGTTGGCACCCATCTCAGAGCAGATCAAAGAAGTGATAACCTTTCGGGAGAAGAACCGAGGGAGCAAGTTGTTTAATCACCTGTCAGCTGTCAGCGAAAGCATCCAGGCCCTGGGCTGGGTGGTTATGGCTCCCAAGCCTGGCCTTTATGCGAAAGAAATGAATGATGCTGCCATGTTTTATATAAACTGAGTCCTCAAAGAGTACAAAGATGTGGATAAGAAGCATGTAGACTGGGTCAGAGCTTAAATATATGGACAGAGTTGCGGGCTTACATTAAGGAGTTCCATACCACCAGACTGGCATGGAACAAAACGGGGCCTGTGGCAGAAGAACTGAGTGGACTGCCTTCTGGACCCTCTGCTGGATCAGATCCTCCTTCCCCTCCAACAGGCCCCCCTCCTCTGCCAGTCTCTACCAGTTCAGGCTCAGATGAATTTGCTTCCCGCTCAGCACTGTTTGCGCAGATTAATCGGGGAGAGCATCACACATGCCCTGAAACACATGTTTGATGACATAAAGACTCACAAGAACCCTGCCTTGAAGGCTGAGTGGTCCAGTACACAGTGGCCCCAAGCCATTCTCTGCACCTAAACTCCAAACCAGCCCATCCCCCAAACCAGCCACAAAGAAAGAGCCAGGTGTACTTGAACTGGAGGGCAAGAAGTGGAGAGTGGAAAATCAGGAAAATGTTTCCAACCTGTTGATTGATGACACAAAGCTGAAACAGGTGGCTTACATTTACAAGTGTGTCAACACGACGTTGCAAATCAAGGGCGAAATTCACTCCATTGCAGTAGATAACTCTAAGAAACTTGGCCTGGTATTTGATGACATTGTGGAGGTAATCAACAGTAGGGATGTCAAAGTTCAGGTAATGGGTAAAGTGCCAAGCATTTCCATCAACAAAACAGATGGCTGCCATGCTTACCTGAGCAAAAATTCCCTGGATTGTGAAACAGTCACTGCCAAATCTCCTGAGAAGAACGTCCTCATTCCTACAGAAGGCAGTGGCTTTAGTGAATTCCCAGTTCCTAAGCAGTTCAGGACCCTATGGAATGGCAGAAGTTGGTCACCACAGTGACAGAAATTGCTGGATAAGTGAAGTGTCACTGGGTTCTTTGCCCTCCCTCTACACCATGGGATAAATCTGTATCAAGATGGTTCTTTTCTAGATTTTCTCTACCTTTCTGCTTTTAAAACTGCTTCTCTGCTCTGAGAAGCACAGCTACCTGCCTTCACTGAAATATACCTCAGGCTGAGATTTGGGGTGGGATAGCAGGTCAGTTGATCTTCCCGC